ATTTTTATATATTACCAACAAAATCCAGAAGAAAGAGATAAAAAGAGAAATTCCATTTAAATAAACTGCAGACAATATAAAGTACTTGTGAGTCTACCTGCCAAGACTCACAAAGGAACTAAATACAATTACAAAACACTTTTCAAACAAATAAGGATAAATAAGGACAAATTCAAACAAACAACTAGAGAAATATTACTTGTTTATGGATAGGCTGAGCCAACATAATAAAAAATGACAATATTACTGAAATTAATGTACTTGCTCCGTGCAGCCAAAGAATTATCTTATAGAGTTAGAAAAAACAATTTTAAAAAATCATCTGGAGGACAAAAGGTCAATAATATCAAGGGAATCAATGAAAAAAAAAAGTAAAGGAAGGTGTCCTGGCAATATCAGTTCTCAAACTATACTACAAAGCAGTAATCATCAAAACAATCTGGTACTGGACAAAAAAACAGAGTGGTAAATCAGTGGAATAGATTAGGCACATATTATACAGAAGTAAATGACCACAGTAACTTAGCGTTTGATAAATCCAAAGATTCAAGCTATTAAGGTAAAAACTTACTATTTGACAAAAACTGCTAGGAAAACTGGAAAGCACAGACAAAACTAGGCACTGACCAACATCTCACAACAAATACCAAAATAAGCTCAAAATGGGTACATGATATTGACATGAAGGGTGACATCATAAGCGAATTAAAGGAGCATGGACAAAATTTCTTGTCATATTTATGGATAAGGGAAAAAAAAATATGACCAAACAAGAGGTAGAACAGTTAATGGAAGGCAAAATGGCTAATTGTTGCTACATTAAATTAAAAATGCTTGCACAAACAAAACCAGTGCAGGGGCAGCTAGGTGGTGCAGTGGATAGATCTCAGCCTTGGAGTTAGGAGGACCTGAGTTCAAATGCGACCTCAGACACTCGACACTTACTAGCTGTTTGATCATGTACAAATCACTTAACCCTGATTGCCTCAGAAAACAAAACAAACAACAACAACAAAACAATACAACCAAAATTAGAAGGAAAGTAGAAAACTGGGGGGAAATTTTCCTGCAAGTTTCTCTGATAAAGGTCTCAACCGTTCCATAACTAATAAATGGTCAAAGTATATGAACAGACAGTCTTCAGAATAAAGAAAAATCAAAGTTATCAATGTTCATATAAAATGCTGTAAATCGCTAATAATTAGAGAAATTGTAAATTAAAACAACACTCAGGTACTAAGACGGCAGAAAATGAAAATGACAAATGCTGAAGGGGAAGTGGAAAAATAAGGACACTAATATGGAGCTGTGAACTGGCCCAACTCTTCTGGAGGACAATTTGGAAGTATACCCAAAGGGACATAAAACGGTAAACACCCTTTGACCCAGAAATACCACCACTAGGTCTGAATCCCAAAGGAATCCAAGGAAAAAGAGAAAAGACTTATATGTACAAAAGTATTTATAGCAGCTCCTTTTGTGGTGGCAAAGGATTGGAAACTGAGTGGATACCCATCAAGTGGGGAATGGATGGACAAATTGTGGCATGTGATTGTGATGGAATACTATTGTGCTGTAAGAAACGACAAAGTAGGTGGTTTCAAAAAACACAGGAACACTTGTATGATCTGATGCAGAAGGAAGTGAACAGAACCAGGAGAACATCGTACATAGTAACAGCAATATTTCAATAACAACCGACTGTGAAGGACTTAGTTACTCTGATCAACACAATAATCCATGATGATCCCAAAGGATGAAAAATGCTATCCACCACCACAGAAAGAACTGACAAACTCTGAGTGTAGATTGAAGCACATTTTCTTCCGTTTTCTTGTTTTTTTTTTCAACATGGCAAATATTGAAATATGTTCAACATGACTTCATACGTATAATGGGAATCATATTTCTTGCCTTCTCAATAGATTTGGTTTGGGGTAGTAGAGAGGGGGAGAATTTGGAACTGAAAACAAAAATTAAACAAAACAAAACAAAACAAAACGAACTCAGTCAGATCTCAGACCTCAAAGTCCAATGCTTTTTCCACCATTCTACATGGACATGAAGCTGGCAAGGAAGGGTTGGCAACTCTTTAACAGGTTCAGTTTGAAGCCCTGTCTAGGCAGGCCAAGCTATGGCTCTCCCATGAAATAGCTTTTTCTTAACACCCAGAGTAGTAAACTCAGATCGGATATTTTGTAGTACCTTCAATTCAGGAAATGGGCATGAAGTGGAGAGCTGTTTCCCTCTAACAATATACAAAAAACCAATTATGATTATTTATATAACTAACTGATCACCATTTTAATAATGCTTTTTAAAGATTATTCATACCTCTAAAATTGCCTTTGTTTCAAAATCTGAACAAAATTTTTTTAACACAACAAAATACAAATGAGAAGAATTTCTTCAGTGAGATCCATCTTCAAGCAAAAGTTTCTGGTTTTTGCATGACAACATTTTTATTACACTATTGAAAGGCAAGTGCAAACCCGTCTGAAACTGCCGGTGTCTTGCTTCCTCATTCTGTGAAATGGTTTTAATGGTAATAATCATCATACAGTATGAAATTATTATTGAAATTATGTTTCCATATATAAAACTGATCACATTTGAAATGTTTAGTTACTCTGAATAAGGGCACTAGAGAATAAAATTATTACAACCCCAGATTATCAGAATTAGTACTTACACCGCCCTTCATATGTCTTTTGAAAATCAAAGTATTATAGGGGCAGCTAGGTGGTGCAGTGGATAGAGCACTGGGCCTGGAGTCAGGAGTACCTGACAAATCTGGCCTCAGACACTTGATACCTACTAGCTGTGTGACCCTGGGCAAGTCACTTACCCTCGATTGCCTCGCCAGAAAAAAAAAAAAAGAAAATCAAGGTATTATTATAATAGCTACTGTAAGAAAACTAGTCCTGTCAATCTATTTTGTTTAGAGGGAGGTAGGGCAGAGGAAAAAAATACAAAGCATATCACATGCAAAATGAATATTTATATTCCTAGAGCCACTTCTTCACAGATTGCTCTAAATGAAGAATATTGTTAATACTAAAGAGAAATTTGGAATAATGAAACAGAAATTTGCCATTTTACTTAAAAGTTTGTCATTCCTAAAGTTTTAAAAGTAAATTTAGTTAACTTTTTAAAATGATCACAGCTACATTTAAATAACCTGATTATTGCCTATTATTATCCCACCTGTAGAGCGAGTTCTGGGATTCAAATGCATCCACAAATACTATAAATAGAAGGCTCTAGATAATAAGGATTATTGAGGTGGTATATAATATATGTTTTTTGAAAATGTTTCATTCAATTAGCTAATTTAGGTAACTAGGCTTCACTGAGCATTAATTAAATGTAATTGTGTATGGCTGGTAAACTGTAGATAAGAAATGCAATTTAATTTTTTCTTATTTTAGCTTGGCTTTAAAATTTGAGATGAATGAGTCCTGGCATGCATAAGATATCTCTCCTGTGCTTATCCTACTTTAACTTAGCTTCTACTAATCTAGTCAAAATAAGTACATGAGATAAGCTATGGGAATTTGAAGCGTTATCTAAATGACAAGTAACATCTAGCAAAATAGTAACATATGCATTCAGATCTGATGTCATCCTTGCCAGCCCTTACAGAAACACATTTACTTGGTTTTACAACTTACATTTCTCATATTTAGTGAAGAACTTTCTTTAAATCAATTCATAAAAGGAAACAATTGCCCAAAAAGTACAAATATGCTTTATTGTGGATTAAAAATTATTAATATATATTTTATGTACATAAAATAGCCAACCCTTGACAGCTGGATACTTTGATCCATAGTGTACACAACATCTGTGCTTGTAAAAATCTCTATATCACCAGCAAATTTAGTCAAGCCTGAAGCATTTATGAGACTATAAATTAATTATAGCTCTTGGAGGGTTGCAGGGTTAAAAAAAAAAGTCTTGAATTCATAAAGAAATCATGCAGCAAATTGAAATAAAGTTTAATCAGATTGTTAGTTTTATAATAATATATTCTATTTGAATTACAGCATGTCTTTGCTATTTGTGCTAAGCAACTTAAACTATATGAGCATAATTAATGAGAAAATTTTTCATCCCACTAAAACAAACCAGGCTGACTTAAATGGTAATCTGTTCAAATCTTCTATTTTTTTTTTTTGCATCATACTTAGAAAAAAAGCTGAATCTTTGATTAAAAAAAAAAAAGTACATGCACATCCAGACCAACAAATATACTTTTACATGTTTTCTTAAGTAGGAGACCAAGAGTATGGGGAAACAAATAACTGTTGTGAAATGCGTCATTCTCGCCAAGAAAGACTCACAATTCCCATGGTCACTACACCACTTTTATTGCCACATTTCTGTATAGAAGATGAATTCAAATATGTTCACATAAACTGCATGTAAGAGAGTACTCAATGAAATAAATAAGTTATGCAACTCATATTAAGCAAAAGTGTTTGTAGACCAGCACTTGCTGTATAATATGAAGTATGGTTAGACACCACCATTATCTGCTCCTTTCTTAAAGGACGATTACTGTAGCACACAAGTTGCCTTCCGTTATACATACGTCACTTGTTTTCTATTGAAATAAAAGGCTGCCATTGTTATAGGAATGGTTGATTACCTTTGGAAGGAAAGACTTTAAAAAGTTTTATTTTACGACCACAATGACAATTTTTGATAATGAGACAGGACACAGATAAGAGTCATCTAATAGATCTTTGATGTGGATATAGTTCTTTTTGTTTTCTTGCAGAACAATGTGTTTCCATAGGCCTATCTAGCAGGGATGCTACATTAAAGATATTTTAAGCCCTCCATACAGCATGCTTGTTGGACAAAGTAAAGTGTATTCTTCCACTTGTTGGAGAAGAGGTGGGTGGGTAACTGTGAGGACAAAGAAGAAAAGAAGGAAAACAAAGGGAAAGGGAAAGGGAAAGGGAAAGGGAAAGGGAAAGGGAAAGGGAAAGGAAGGGAAAGGGAAAGGGAAAGGGAAAGGGAAAGGGAAAGGGAAAGGGAAAGGGAAGGGAAGCAGAATGAGGGTTGTCCTGACCAAATGCTGTACATATTTGGAATAAAAAATGCCTTCTGTACTTGCCCTTCCAAATGCCTTTTCCTTTTCTCCCCAATGCCTCCTTCCCCATTCAATTCTCTTTACTTCAACTCCTATTCTGGCCCAGCCACCAAAGAGGAATGAATCCACGTTATGGCAAAATTATAAAGAAAAAGGAACCGAGGTGACCCTGGGGCTCTGGGGGAAGGAAATAAACATTTTTAAGACACAGAGCTAAACTTAGAGCATCTGATGAGGTCTGGTCAAAAATAATGAAAAGTCTGGGAGGAAAGAAAATGCAGAAGAAATCTGCATAAATTACAAAAGGGTTTTAAGTGCATGGATAACTGATGTATTTTACATTGAAATGATTCCTTAAATTGTAATAATGAAAGTAAGAAAATATGCTTTTTTTTCTTAAAAAACAAAACAAAAAGTTAATAAAATATTTTCTCTGCACCAAAATATTCTTTGGAAAATAAAAATAAAAATGTTCCATGTATGGTTCTTTCAAGTTGTTTTGTAAAAATCATCAAAATACACAGTCCAATCCTGAAGATAGAGGTCCAAATGCCATTGAGAATTAAGCAAACAAAGGGTTTTCCATTTCACGGATTTGAAGCCATCTTCTTCCCTTTAGGTTCCTACTAAGAACATCACTTCAGTTAGCACTCTTCTTCACTGTCAAACAGCAGCCTTGCTTGGGTCTAGAGATACAAATTGTTACCTCCCTGCACGTCCTTAATGGAGAAAAGTGCAGCTCAGCCTGCAGTTCTAGGCCTAGAACTCTGAAGATACCCATAGCAACTACTGAAGAGAAAAAAAAAAGTTTCCTCACAACATCGACTGCTATCCAAAGCGAAACTTGAGTCTGTATTTGACTGTATTTGGCTTCTTTCCAGGTGCAGGAAGGGGGACCTTTGGTTTGACCAGGTGAGGAGGTCGCTTGTTTTTTTCTGGAACAGTGACTGTAAAAGAAAGTTCTGGCTGCTCTAACTGCTTGAATCTTGGAAGGAAATGGGTAGAAATATGTTGGGGTTTGACCCTTGGACTGCAGCCTCTTTTGGCTTTACCTCGTTTGTTCAGTGCCACATACCATTCTCTTCCAGTCTTTTCCGTCCTGTGGATGGCTGAGGCATAGGTATTATAGCTGTTTTCTTGAAACCGCTCCTTGAACTTGCAATCATCTGTAAACCTGGTCTAGAAAACAAAAGGAGAGAATTTTGACTGCCAGGAGGAAACCTTGAATAGATTTGAGCTGCAAAATTTTCAGCATGTTATTTTTCAAAGTTTGAATTCCAGTAATAGAAGCCGAAGTTTCTAGTGACCCCTATTCCATCCCCTTAAATAAAACTGCCCAGACATTGCTATAACTACCACCCTCAACACTGTTCCATCATTCACAACGCTGATTTCTGTGCTGAGTTACCACAGGCCCAGTAGCCCAAACATTAACATTCATAAAAGCAATAATTAGATGCCTTAATACATTTAATTATCGTTAACTCTATGAAAGACCTCAAAATAAATGACCCCTGAGATCTGTAGTCACTTGCAGATTTGCAGAAAAAGCACTTTCTTCTAAGGCAGACTCTTGCAAGCTGCTGAACCCTTAGCCTTAGAATGAAGCAGAAACATTTCCCTAAGAAATTGTCCCTTGGCAACACATGATTTTGTGTTCTGCGAGCCGGGGTTATATAGTGCCCTTGAAACAAGTATAAATTTTCCATCATTGGCAGTAAGACTTAGACTGCTAAGAAAGGGCCATCATGTAGCTTTATTCAGATCCTGTTATATAGCTCTTTGGTTTTTTATTTTCTCACAGAGATAGCCACAGAGTGTTGGTGACTTCTAATTATTTTTTTTTTCTTTTCTGAATCAAACACTGATTACTTTATACACTTATTAGATGATATGTTTTCTTTATAAGTCTTTATAAAGAAATAAGTAATATGTAAATAATAGAAATTATTTCTGTGTAAATATCTAATATAAATTAATATAAATTATTTATATAAACATAATAACATATAAATTATATAAAGCTTTACAAAAATAAATTATTTAAATAATTTATATATAATATATAAATAATTTAAATATATTATATATATTAATAATACAAATCTTTATAAAGAAAATATATCATCCATAAAGCAGTCAATGTTTGATTCAGAAAAGAAAAGAAAAATAGGTCACTAATACTCTATGTCTATGCTTATGAGAAAATCAAAAAGTAATTCTAGGAAGGAGCAAAAGTGGTAGGAAGAGATAACAACAGCAATGATATGTTCATGTAAGATACTTTCCCTTTCTTATGGAAATACATTATTTGCTGAAAGAGAAGAAAAAAAACATTTTGTGTGAAATAGAGAAAAGAGGAAAAACACAGATTGTGTTGAGAGAAACAAAGAGAAAAGTAGCCCTTCAGATTAAAGTTCTGAGAAGACTGGAGGAAACTCTTTTTGGAGTAGTGACTGCATTATTTTCCCACTGCTAATTTGAATATAACTTTTTTCAAGACTTTAGGAGTTTATTACTAGGAAACTCCAATTCAAAGGACTATGGGACTAATCTATAATAACCATCTATGCCATATTGGACATTACTGTGGATTCTGGGCTTTTCAACCTAAGTTAGAGACAGGTCACTGGGAGTCTGATTCAAGGTTTTAGAAACTGGACGAAAAAAAATCAGATCGTGGCTGTCTGAAAGTGCTGATTAGAGAAAAGGAGAATCCCCTAGTATGGGATGAAGAACTGGTAGTAGAGTAGTAGAAAGGTTGCCTTGCTTTCTAACACCATCTACAGCTTGAAAGAGGAGTAAGCCCTTGAAAACTTATCTGTATTTCCCTTTATTCCTCTCATAAGGGGAAAGCCCATCACAGCCTGTAAGGAAGGAGGGGACTTTTGTACAACCCAGAATTCAAAAGAAGTGTTTTTTTTTTTTCATTGAAAGAGTACCATATTGCCTTAGCTTTTAGCCAAAGGAAGTCAGGAACCTCTGCAGACTTTGGTTGTAAAGATCCTTTTACATAAAAGATCTTAACCTCATTTTAGTGGCCCAAGAATAACAGAAAAATGACCTGGCTCAAAAGAGGTACAGGTAACAAGGGGTACACATTACTGCCAGAAAGACTCCAGATCTGAAGATTCCAGCGTCATGAGAAGCTTTGGATACATGCGGTTTTCCCTACTCATGTGTTTCTCCGCTGTGTTTCTGTAAGAGCGTTATGAATCCCTACCCACCTGCCCTCATCCCTGGAAACTGTGAAAGAGTATGACTCTTGTTTATAAGTAGTCTGTTATGTTTTGATTATGCCTGCTTTTGTCTTCTATTGAGTAATGTTATGTTATGGTTATTATTGTTTTTGACTTCTTGTTTAGTAAATAGTTCATGTTTAAGAGTTAATGGTATCATTGTGCCTGATTTGTGAAGCGTATAGATGGGGGCTCAGGAACTACAATGTGAATGTAGAGGTATAATCCCTGCCCAGGTTACATCTAGAACCCTAAGAGTGAATTGTAGTCACATTTCTGTCCAGATCTGGAAAAATCACCCTACCATACCAGTGAGAACGAACAAAGGTGGGATGATCAAGGCAACTGAGAGAGAGAGAGAGAGAGAGAGAGAGAGAGAGAGAGAGAGAGAGAGAGAGAGATCTGGACAGAACTGAGAATATTGGGGTCACATCTCTATATGTGCTACAATGATAAAGCTCTTCAGAAGTTCCAAAGCTATTTCACATTTCACTCAACACTTAAAATTGTTTATGAGAACAAACACTAAAATCTGACATAGCTTTAGAAAGAAATTTTATGTCATTTACTAGAGATTTATCTGGAAAGAAGTGGCTCCCTCTTCCAGGTTCTGGAAGATTATATAGATTTTGACAAAAGTATCACACACAAGTCACACATGGAATCACATGAAGGGATCCCAAAACATAAACCTGAGCAGACACCCAAGACTGAATGTGGATTCAGGACCTGCAGAAACCCCAAATTCCTTTTAGTTATCTCTTGCATTCTTAGAGAGTTACTGGGGTCAAGATGACATTCTGGGTGCAAGCAGTCTCTAAAATGGCATAATAATCAGTTTTCCAAACAATATAATAAAACATTCTTTCCACACAATAATGCTGAGATAGAGTGGGAATTATGATCTACTTGGAATATTTGGAAATATGATCTACTTGGAATACATGATTTGGGGCACATGTAAAGAACTAGAGGCCAGTGACACGTAATTTGCTTATGCTGGTTATTTACAGGTGGGTGTAGTTTGAGTTCTGGTGGTAGCCTTTATTTGGGAATTGTGTCCTTGTGCATTCAAACTTCCTAAAACTCTACTGTCGATATTCTTTAACAATAACTATGTTTGAAATCCAATGGGCTGAAAACCTAATACTACTTTAAACAAAGTGTAATATCTTTGGGATCTTGTTCCCATGTTCTAGAAACACCCTTTTAAGGTAAAAGCTAATGCAGGCAATATTTTAAGAAACCACATAGTAATTCCTTTCATATTTTTAACAAAGAAAGGATTTATTACAAATAGAAGTGTGTATTTGCTATTAATTTCTTAGATTTTTGAAGTATTGATGTGCTGTCCCGTTTAAATTATGTAGTCTTAAAGTTTTACCATAAAATAAAAGCTAGAGCTATCAGGGATGAAAGGATAAACATCTTAGAAATGATGAGGGAGATGGTTTTAGAGGAAAATAGATGAAATGAAAAAAAATATATGTGTAGCCTTGAATTTTTTCTTGAAGTGCAGTTGAATACAATGAAAAATGTCTTACACATGGTTCACTGACCTCATTTTCACTTCTGTCTTACAAAATCCATTGTCTCTAAAACTTAGAACTGGGAATGATCAGAATTGGGAAGGACCAGAGTTCAAGCCAAGTACTTTGAAATGTACTGAACTCTTTAGTCCCTGATTTGTATTTATTTCCCTTGAAGATGCAGTGAAAAAAAGGTATAGAGGATTTGACAAGATTTGTTATCACAGTTGTTGTTTGTTCAATGAAAGGGCCTTACTTCATTATGATAGGTACACAAACCTTGTTTTTCTGGTCTTAGTTCCTCTCCTTGAGATCCAGAACATTAGTAAAAACCCTCCCCAGAAAGTTCCTTCCCCAAAACTCTTGTTCCAAAAGCCCTGATGTTCAAGAGGAAAGTGTTCAGGCATCCATTTTTCACAGCGCGTCTTTGGTTGGGTGAGGGGAGCTGTTGATGAGAGAACATTTCAAAAAGTTTCTAGAATATGAATAGGGTCCAATGACCATTTGAGAGATGAGTGATAATTAGTGGAAGCACCTCACCAATCTCATTGCATACACACACCAATATATGTGGTGAGACCTCAGCCTCATAGATTTTTTGGACATCTCAGTTGGTCTTTAATTAAATATTTTGTCTGGAAACTTACTTGAATTATGGCGGAAAAGACCCATTTGAAGCAAACATTTCAGTGAAATGGTTCCTCAGAAAATACAGCTTTTCCATGAAGAAACTTCACCCAAAATAAGTATTCCTAGCCTTATGGATGCATGAGGCCAAAAAGCATGCAAGACACCCTTGCATGTTATGCAGTGAGATTTTTGTGCTGACTAAGCTTGAATTCCTGCAGAACTCCAGCAGATTTTTTTAGAAACATGAATTTCTCCATTGCAATTTTCTATGAAGGCACTAGGTGGTGCAGTAGATAGAGCACCGAGTTTCATGTTAGGAAGTCCTGAGTTCAAATGTCACCTCAGACACTTACTGGCTGAGTGATCTGGGGCTACCTCTGTTTGCCTCAGTTTCTCCAACTATAAAATGGGAATAATAATATCACTTGTTATTAGGATCAAATGAAATAATAGTTGTATAGCACTAAGTACAGTGCTTGGCACACAGTAGGTACTTAATAAATGCTTATTCCCTTCCATGAGATTTCAGTGAAAACATCATTTTGATTAGAAGTCATATTAGTATTCTATTTATTAATTCAATATAAGCAATATAAGAGAAGTAGATTTATTAAAACATTAAGATAATTTTTTTTAAATTTCTGATTAATCAGTCAGCCCACCAGTATGCATGTATTAAGCTCCTTTTATGTACCAGGTACTGGGGATAAAAAGAAAGGCATAAGACAGAGACTCCTACTCTGAAAAAGCTCATGGTCTAATGGAGAGTCAACCTTCAAAC